GTTCCTCCTGCTCTCCTCTCCAGTTCCTCCTGCTCTCCAGTTCCTCCTGCTCTCCAGTTCCTCCTCTCTCCTCTCCTCCCCAGTGCCTCCTGCTCTCCCCGTGCCTGGCACTGGCACGGCAGATGGGCTGCGAGGAGGGGGCTGGCACAGCCCGTGTGTGCCACGCTCTGTCTTTCAAGTTTCATTAGTTGGAGGCTGCTCAAGATCCAGCTCTGCTGGCAGCTCCTGCTGATGGCACAGGACAGCAGCTCCTGTGAAGGTCTGAGGGCTGAGGATCCTCCCTGAGCAGCCCCGTGGGACGGCCCTGCCCTTCCTGGCCCGCTGTGTTTAACACGTGTTCTCAGCTCTGTTAAACTGCAGCTTGGGAGGCTTTTGCTTAAAATAGCCTGTAATGGAAATCAGTGTTTGTCATGTAAAGCCTCGAGCTCCTTGACTAAAGCATCTGAAATGCAGCTCTGCTACACGTTGTAAAGTTAACAGGCTTTGCTTTGTGCTGCTCCAAATAATGCTGAGCTGATGCTGGGAGCTGCCCTGTGCTCCTCCACTTAATTCCTCCTTCCCTTTTACCTTCCAGACTATATTCTCTTTAGATCCTCCTCCTCCTTGCTCTGATACCTCCTCAGTTGCTCTGATACCTCCTCAAAAAAATTCAGGCTGTAAAAAAGGAGAGGACCTGTGGCAGGAGATGCAGTGCAGGAGCAGGGATTGTCTCTGCTGGATTTCTGGACGAGGGGTTTTAAGTTTTTACCACATAAATTTCCTTAAGGAATCAGAGCAAGCAAAGACATGTAAGGGAGGTGTGTGGGATGCTCCAATCCTTTTACTGTCAGATTTCTGTGAAATGCAGTGTTTGTGCTCCCAAGTCCTGTTGTCCCAACCCCTGGGGGTGGTTCTCTGGCTCAGGAAGGTGCTGAGATCTGTGTGAGCTGGAAACCAACCCCTCCCCACGTGTCTGAAACCCTTCCCAGCCACTGAATTCCTGGGGGTTTGTCCCCCTCCTGGACTGGCTACAGGCACTGGAGGAAAGTTGCAGGAAAAACCTCAGAGGATCCTAATCAGGGATAAGGGATGGTTGGACATCAGGAGGGATTTCTCCAGGGAAAGGGTGGTCAGGAATTGGAACTGCCCAGGGGGGTTTGGAGTCCCCATCCCTGGAGGTGTCTCAGGAAGGGGCACAGGGTGGATCCATGGGCTGGGAGGGCTTTTCCAACCTCAGTGCTCTGGGCTGGGGCACAAGGGGGGCATTGGGCACAGGGTGGATTTGATGATCTAGGAGGGCTTTTCCAACCTCTGTGACTCTGGGATGGAACAGAAAATTCCTGGGCAAGAACAAGTAGGGGAAATGGTGCCCTGAGAGGGGGATGTGCTGTTCTCCTGGGAGAACAGGCCCCCAGGAGAGGGGGGAGCAGCTCTGTCCCTTGGGGGGGTTAAAATGGGAATAAAGCAAATATGTGGTGGAGAAGGAGCTGGGATGTGCCAGGAAAACCTGGCTGAGCCTGGAGAATCCCCCAGGATGGGGGCTCAAAACACACCTGGGCAACCCCAGCCCTACAATGACTTCATCACTGTGTGGTGGGTCCAGCCCAGCTTTGGGGGGCTCCTGGAGCCACTCCAGGGGCTCCATCTGGGAAAGGTGCCCTTGGCTTTTCTGGGATCTCCGAAGGAGATGAGCTCAGCTCTGCTGCAGTCACTTGGCTTTGAACTGGGGCTGGGTTTTTGTTGCTCTGGGGGTTCCCAGCCCTGACCACTCTGTCCCATTGCAGCTGATGATGCCTGTGGGGGGACCCTGCGGGGCCAGAGCGGGATCATCTCCAGCCCCCATTTCCCTTTGGAATACGGCAACAACGCCGACTGCACCTGGACTATCCTGGCCGAGCCCGGGGACACCATTGCTCTGGTTTTCATGGATTTCCAGCTGGAAGATGGATATGATGTTCTAGAAGTGGCTGGGACAGAGGGATCCTCGCTCTGGTAGGTGACTGCTGGCCTTTCTCCCTCCCCTGGGGTTGTTGTGTGTGCACAGAGGGAAGGGGCTGTGCCTGGAGGAGGGCAATTCCCAGTTATTATTATTATATTATTATAATGAAACTCCCTGGGGTGCTTTTGATTTGCTTGGTGAACTTTGTAGTGACTGTTGGCTCCTTTAAATCCTGTTCTGTGCAAGGAGGTTTCGTGGCAGAATTAAAACCCAACCAACCCAAACACCCAGCACGTGGAAAACCCCCTCAAACCTCGTGATGTTCAAGCCTTGCTTTTGCTGCATTTTTTTTCTGATTGCTGCTAAATCTGCTGCTTTACTGCTAATGAATTTATGGCAATATCACCACATCAGTTTGTCCCTTTGATGGGAGGCTTTGGATGGAATTCCAGTCCCCCTCTCATCCCAGGGGCTGGGCAAGCAGTGCTCTCAGAAACATTGCTTTTATTCAGAATAAAGTTCATGGGGATGTTTTCCAGTATACAAGAGCTACCCCAGTCTGCAGGGCCATGAGGTTGGGAGGGAGAAGGAATTGCAGGAGGAATTTGGGAAGGAATTGCAGGAGGAATTTG